ATATATATATACAAATAAAAATAACAACAATGAAATTTAAATAAATATAGCCTTATTTTTCAGTGGCAGTCTTATTAGACTAGGAATGTTTCGTCGAATTTAGTTATTTATTATAATTCAATAAATAATTAAAATATAAAGTCTATTTAAAATTAAAATATGAATTTTTTACAAAATTTCTTCAATTGACCTTTGAGTATTATATATTAATATAATTATTTAAACATGAAATTGGGTCACTTAATAATTATACTAAGGTAGCTTAATATCTGTGCTAGTTAGTGGATGCCATTGAGTTTGTCGGTTTGTCCCTGGCCTGAGGTTTCGATGCTCCATTTTAAAACTATGAAGAGGATCCCATTATTGAGTAAAAAAAAAAAAAAGACTGGATCTAAACGTCAAATAATATAATATAAAGTCAGGATAAATGAACATTTTGTAATTTATTGAATAACTAGCTGATTCGTTGACGGGTTTATCAGTTAAAATCTGAGAATTTTTTTTTTAGATGGATTTCGTATTATAGGGGGAGGATCCAAATTTAATTTCATATAATTGAGTGGGGGAGGATTTTAATTTTGAGGAGCTTTTTTTCGGATTTCAGGGCTAATCCGTTTGGTTAATCCAAACAGTGTATACCACAACATTTGTTAGACTTGGGAGATTGAATCGAACGACACCTTGAACGGGAAGATCGGAGAAATTTGAAAAATAAGTGTGTTTGACCCGTGTTTTAAGCGAGATTTCAGATTTTTGCCGTTGAGTTGTGATAATTTTTTCCATCAGTTGAATAGTACAACATTTAAATGTGGCTCATGGTTGAGATGAGAATTGAAGTAAGTAACTGTCTAACCGGGATCTCTAGACAATTTACTCAAGAATTCATAAATATTTTGTTTCCATTTAAAGCCTTATGTTTTAAGTCAACCAAAACTAAATATAATGTCAACAGTTCAAAAGTCTACTATTAGCCAATGCGGAGCTTACCCCTGAGAAAATTTCGGTGGACAATGCGGACATACAGACAGAAATTTTTTTTTAAAAAGTTGATTTGGTGTCTGTAATATATGAAACGGAAATATATTATGAAACGTGTTGATTCTATTCAATGTACAGACCAAACCTTTATTTTATTTATATAGATTATTAAGTGACCTAATTCTCAATTTAAATAATTATGTTTGTATATATATAAGGACGATTTGAAGTTGTCAGTTGATGTGCGTGAGCTCAATACGTTTGATTCCTGAACCCTCTCCAACTGCATTCGAATCCAGGTGCTCAAATCGAATAAGGGGACTCGAATGTTACTGAGATTCGAGCTATGAATTCTGAAAGGAATCCATCGATATAATATCCACAGTGAACGGTTGAGCAAATCATTCTCCTTTACAAGGATATAGGATATAGTCCGACTCCTTAAAGTTTGAAGACTTCGGTGAGACAGATAAAATAATCTCCGGAAGCTATGTTCTAAAGGAAGAAAAGTTCTAAAAAACAAGAATAAATAGCCTGAGAAACTGGTGAGCTATAGCGCAATGACTGGAAATATTTTTGTTGTGGAATTCTACCTTCTAAAATAATGGAGGTTAAAAGATAAGTCGAACATTGTACCATTCATTTGATAATGGAAGCGGAGATAGTGCGTTGTTGTGAACAATAAACATATACATGCTTTATTCATGTCCAGCACTTTAAGTGATAACATAATATTATCATAACCTTACATTTCACTTAATTGCTTTCCTTACCAGGCTATATTTTTATTGTTATAGATTAGGCCGATATTCATTGAGGTCGAACAAACAATGAACATTTTGTACCTTCCACTTGTTCTATTTTACATGTTCCATTCATATATACATTTAGTGATAGGATAAACATTCTAAAATCATTTTGAATGTGGTGCCAATTGGAAATTTTCAATAAAGACCATTGTACACGTAGACATAGATAGTCGCTACTAAAAAACACTAATTCTGTTAAAATTTTCTAACTTTAACCTTAACTAAGTTTAAATATGTGTAATTTTAAATTCTAATCGGTGATTAATGTGCATGTTCCTCTTATTATGAAATTTCATCCTGAAATTATTTGCAAAATTTAAATAATTTTTTGTTTGAAATGTTTACTACATAAATATGAAATTAATCGCCATTTTCGCTTCAAATGTTATCACTACAAACAGGAATTTAAAAAATCTGATGCGCTGCAATCATCACAACCATTCACTTAAAAGTTTTCTTTTAAAAGAATTAAATGTTTTTTGAAAAAGGGCAGGGGAAGTAAAAATTGCAGACGGTACAACATATTGTTAAAATAATTAATGACTATGAGTTTTAATGGCAGTTTAATGCATTATAATTATCCTTTATTTGTCACCAACCATTTCTTTTAATGACTTTATATTTTAATTATTTATTTAATTAAATTTATTATTTATTATTAATTATTTATTAATTTAAATTCGACGAAACATTCCTTGTCCGACAAGAGAACCACTGAAAAAGGAGGCGGTTATATTTATTTAAATTTCATAGTAGATATTTTTATTTGTCTAAGCATTGATATATATATAGGTGTCTCGTAAGTAGAGGGAAATAGTAAAAGGTTGATAGCAGACATCAAGATCTATAAAAAAGTTCTTATAAACAATTGCCCAATTTCCTGCAGTAAAGTAGGAAATTTAAGATTTTTGTTCTTTTAAGTGTGTCACGTTTTTTGGTTAATAGGAAGCGATAACTTAAAAAGTGTTTGATTTAAGTAACGAAAGATTGATCCATAGTAAACTAGATAAAATTTACTTTAAGCTAAAGTAGAGTTTGTCATCCTTAAAAATATTTAAAGAGGACTATTAGAATGACAAACACATCTATGTTCCGTTTAAAAAAAAAGTAAAAAATTATTTGTAATTTTTGTATCACCCTTTAACTGCACAACTGCACTACATTCACCCAACTTTAAAAAAAGAAAAACTTCCTCGTTTAATAAGTTTTAAGTCAATATTAACAATGATGTCTATTAGAAAAAATTTTGTTATTCATCCTAAGCATTGTAAAGAAATATAAAAATGTGATTTCTGATGTTTGACTTCTATTTGATAAGTGACAAATTTAATGTTTCTAGCCCTATTGTATACGTTTTCATGGAAATAATTGAAGCAATCAGTAGTTTTTTTATTTTTTATTTTAATGAGAAACATAAAGTTTCACACTGATAAATACATATCAATTTCTATGACGAAGACCTGAGAGAAAAATACAGTTTCATTACCACTTTACGTGAAAAATATTTAAAAAATCATTATTTTTAATGTTTTTATATTTATAAATAAAGTGTACTTTTAGGCAATTATGTTTATTGCAATACTTCCCATAACAGGTGAAAACAAGAAATTGCTGTTTGCTTTGCAACAGTTAATTGTAGTCATTTTTGCAGAAAACACGGATACTTTAAGGTGACTAGATAGTATATTAGATCATTTCTTTGCACAATATGAGATCAATCTCAAGCGGTTTTCTAATAAACCTCAACTTAGTTAACATGTATTTAAAGCTTATTAAATAAGGAAGTTTTTCTATAAGTGGGGTAAATTTATTACAGTTGAAGGGTGATAAAAAAAAAATCACAAATAATGTATGACTTATTTTTGATTCAGTTTCTTAGTTATTGAGGATGATTTTGACGAAGAAATTGCTGTAAAATTCCAACCAAAAACTTAAATATGCAATTTCAGTTTTGAACGACTTTTATTTTTTTTATCTAGACTTTTCACACACACACAGACCATTTTGAGAGAATTGTTCATTTGGACTAAGGATACCTCAAAACGTTTATTTCCGTTGAAAACTTGGATTCGAAAATTTTGACGATCGCAATACTTTCTCTTAATATTTCTTATATGGTTAAGTGAAAGTAAAAATATGCTACATCCACGAGCTCTGACCCACTCCTGTTTGATGCTCAGGATTATTAGAGTATATATTCAATTCAATTCAATCTTTATTTGTTTTAAAGGAAGAACAGTTAAAATAGTCCCAATTACCAAATTAGTAGAAAATCTAAAATTGTCAACAATATACATAAATAAATACAGAAAAAACAATAAAAACATTTTTAAAAAATATTAATATTAAACTATGTTATGAAATTAAATTAAAAGATTACCCTATACATAAGAGAACAAACTAGAAAAATACCCGGACAGTTACATACCGACGTGTAATATGGAATTTTTGCCACAATATGCAAAGGACAATATTCCAGATTACCCTACCAATTTTCTATAATTTGATATAATTGAGATAAAAAAATATATAGATTTCCTCATACCTTCTGCACTGGTTGGCTTAAATACATCCATCCCATCAAGATTTTTCATACCCTGGTAAATTCTTCATCTTAAACTACTGTAAATTGAGTACTGTAATAAAACTACTGAATTTTAGAGTATATAGTATTATTAGGGCATATAGTATTATTCATCTTATTGCACAGCTGAAAACGAAATCTTCCTTTTACTCCCTATACAGTTCAAGACATCCCTACGAATTAGTTGCTTACTTTTCTTGATATCTCTAGCATTCCTTGAAACGGCCATTTACCATCACGGTAACAATAATACGATATAATAATAACTGACTAATGTTTAAAATGGAACTATCATTTATTTTATAAAAAAAGCGAAGTGAAACTTTCAAAAACGTTATCAATAAGTCAATTATTGCGTTTCAGCTACCGAACAATAACTGGTCAATTTTAATCCAGTTATAGTCCGACCATGGATACCATGGTCCGACATTATACCATGGATTATAATGGATAATATCAATTGTTAACTCGATATGAGTCGATTTCAACATACTTTAAGATATTATTAATAACAATATATATATATATATATATATATATATATATATATATATATATATAATATATATATATATATATATATATATATATATATATTATTATTATTATTATTATTATTATTATGTTACCTGCGGCTAATGCTGGAGCGAGCTTCCAGGCGACGAAGGCGACACCGAAGTTCCAGGGCGCGATGAGTCCAGCGACACCGACCGGTTCGTGCCTCGTGTAGGACAGGAAGCTGCCATCCATGGCTGTCGTGATCCCGTTGTTCTTGTCCGCGAATCCGGCGTAGTAGCGGAAGTTCTTACCGGAGGTCGGTACGTCGGTCCTCATCAGTGTGTTGTAAAGTTTCCCGCAGTCTAGGACCTCCAAACTCTGCAAAATAAAAAATAATAGTCTGATTACAATAACGAAATCAACCCACAATTTTTGTTCTAAATTATTATCTACTGTTAAGATCATTTATGGTACATCCACCGTTCTTCACATGTTTTGCTATCATCTAGTCCTGACATAGGCGCTGACTTTCCTTTTCAATTGTGGGGGGGAGGAGGAGGAAGGGGTGAAGGAAAAAACCAACAAAAAAAAAAAATGGCCGTAGTTCTTATTATGTGTAAAATCAACATAATTATTGTGATACGAGCAAATATAATATTGAATATTTAAAAATAAATTTATATAATAATGGGTGTATACAAAAAAATGACGGTTTAATCAAATTCAAGATTCAGAAGGACTGAAAATATTTTAATACTTGCTAATGCTTAATGATCCCTTTAGGGAATTATCTAAGCTTGTTTAATTCCATTTGACTTCTTCACATAAATACTCAGTTTAGTTATTTATTTCAAAGAAGAAACATGACATTGTCCTACGAAATTCCCGTAATTTTAAGAATATTACTGAAAAAAAAAATCTACAGGCGCTGAAGTAATTCGTGAAATTATTAAATATAAAGGGGAATGTGTCCTTAACCAGCGCTTTGCGGGGCGTTGGTTTGAAAACTTTAGCAATGGAGATACGACGTTGGAAAGGAAGAAGGGCTTCGGGCGAACATTAATGCAAATTGATGAGGTTCTGCAGAAAGCTGTTGAGTCAAACCCGTCCACAATTACTTGCTAACATGCCAGAGAGTATTTTGTGTTGAAAGATTCTGTTAGTCGCCATATACTCTCCATGGGGAAGGTGAAAAAGAGCTGTAGACTGGTCCCTCATGAACGTACTCCTCAGCTAAGAGGTTAGAAATTTGTGGAAATTTATTGAAAAACCCTTCTGATATGAGACTCCTGCCTCACCCACCATATAGTCCAGACCACGCACCATCGGATTACTACTTATTTAGATCCATGGCCCATTTTCTTCAGGGTAATAATTTGATAATTTTGCGAAAGTTGAAATTACGGTCCAAGAGTTCTTTCAAAGAATGGTATCAGCGAGGGATCGAGCGATTGGCTATCAGATGGCTAATGGCGGTAGATAACAATGGGCTATTTTTTGAGTATTAATTGTATTTTATATCAAAGAAATAATAATACAAATATTTGGTTGAAAAACGGTATTTTTTTTTTTTTTTGTTTTAATCTACCCTATTACTTGTTTGGAAGTTGTAGAATGTTTTTATGTTTATGTTCATGTTAAATGTTTTTATGTTCATCTTTCCAGATTGCCATTCTTGTTGTCCCTAACCAATGGACCCCTGTAATTGCTTTTTAAAAATATAGAATATCTATAATGCGCATCCAGTCCCGAAAATTAAAATAAACTTATACAGAATCATTATAGGGGAAGGCGAGATTAAGATTTCTTTTTCTGTCCACTGTGAATTGATTTAAGAACTGAAATCTTTATGAGAACTTATTCAAATCTTAAATTATACCATGTATATACCATTCTCTCTCTCCAATTCAAAGGAATGGAACATAAGATTTCTCAAAAATTGTCATATTCAGCATCTTACCCCAAGTAACTGAACCCCAGGATAGCATGGCAAAATCAGAGATTTTAAAGCATCATAACAAACTACTTAAAAAAGAATTTATTAACATACGACTTAAATTAGAAATATAAAACTATGAAAGGAACCACAAACCACAGATTGAAATCGTTATTAAAAAAGTCAAATTTGATCACAATTTTTATCTAGAATTTTTCATTTTTGGTCATAAGTGAAAAAAATCATATTCTCGTCATTGTTAGTTAACAACGTTTGTACAATTAATAATCATAATTCTTGAGTTTTTTAAGCTTTTTTAAATCAGAAATATAATATTTTTGTAATTTTTATAAAAGTAGTAGTAGATGGAGAAGATTGTCAACGTTTAGCAACAGAACATCTTTATTTCCAAAATTCATTAGGACTTTTGGCTTACAAAAAATAATATATATATATATATATATATATATATATATACGTATATATTTTGCAGGTACCGGGTGCACAATTAGCGATTTCAGAAATATAATATTAATGATTGTTGAAAAGAATATTTTTGTAAAAGATGATTTTTATTTTGTTATCAACTTTATTCTGATCACAGTATAATCATTATTAATTTTGTGAAACGGTATCACTCAGTGAGTGATCATTATTTTTAATAGAGTCAGTCATTTATCATTTTGTGAATGAATTCATTCTGAATATTTTTGTTAGAAATTTGGAAAACCTACCTTAAACTACTGATTTATTGCGTTTTGAGATTCTAAAATTACTTTAAGGTATTCTGTATCTGAACTTTTGGTCACATTACAAAATATGGACACACACTTTTTTAGTAACGATATAATTCCGAAAAGATCAATATTATGCGCTCTAGACTGAGACTTCAGTCACACACATACAGACCATTTTGTAGGAATTGGTTATTTCGACTCAGGGGACCTCAAAACGTGTATTTCCGTTAAAAATTCAGATTCAAAAATTTTCACGATCGCAATACTTTCCCTTTCTATATATTACATATACAGGTTCTCTTTTTTTGTTATCTTTACTCTGATAGCATAAGTTTAGTTCGTTTTAATATATTGCGCACCTATTAGTTTTGTCTTTAGGTTAATTAACCATGACTAATTTTCCAAAAATCAGTTAGATATTATGGCAAGTCAAACTCCCACCAAATCCTTGAACATGTTCTATCTATTACACTACGATACATGTGCAGTGTATGCTTCATAACTTGTCTGACATGAAGTCATCAAGTTATCTACGGTTTCTCGTACAAAATTGAGCTGATGAAATTTCTAAATTTAGTGCAGTTATTTAGATACCAAATTACGAAGACAACTTGAAAGATCAACATTGATCGTGGTATGAAAGTTGTGAAGAAAATTCAATCAATATCAAGGGTTGGTAAATAAGTCCTTTCGGTTTTTTAGAGTCAAATAAAACTCAATATATTATAGACATACAATTTATATTAATGTAAAATATATTGACCATTATTTAATATGACTATTCCACTAATTTCCCGTATTTCAACTAACATAATGCCATGTTCATAGAATGTCTGTAGTTTATTGTTAAAAAACTGATCCAAGTGGTTTTTGATGTCCTCTTCCTTTTAGAAATTCTTTGTATTCATGGAGTTCTGCAGAGGCCGGAATAAGTGGTAGTCACTTGAAGCTAGGTCTGCTGAATTGAGAAGGTGGAGCAAAAGGTTCCTAGGCTCAATAATTTATTGCGAGTGACCAATGAGGTGTGGAGCCAAGTGTTGTCTTGGTGGAACACAACACCCTTCCGATCATTCATGACTCTTCAGGATGTTCTCCAAATTCAATGTTACTATAACCGTTGGAAAGCTTAATTATTGCTCTTTAAAGCCTTATTAGATTTTAATTTTTTATATCCGTTTGTAGTTTGTTTACGAAGGTCGTGTTGATTTTATTTTGTATAGTTTATGTGACCCTAAATTTCTTGTAGTTAGCTAGAGTCGTATTGAAGTTATAACATTTTTTGTGATTTTCGAAAAAAAAAATCCCCCTAAACATTAAGACTGGAAACATAGCCGACTCTGTGCAAATGATTTTGTACGCTTGTGTGCGACTCAAGGCCATAGCAATCTCTCGCACTGATTGGGCTAGATTTTGATCAACAATGGCCTTAACATTGCTCGTTTCAATTTCATGTTGGTGATCAGACCGTTGAGTATCATTGATGTCAGAATTTGGCAAACCAATTTTGACAGGTGCGTACGGTTATGGCATCATCTACATTGCAAGTTTTTCTATGAGCTTCTGCAGCAGGCTTAACATTTTTGCAATAATACAACAAAATATGCCGATAATGAATGATATTTTCTTCCATATTCACGGTGCAATAGCAAATACAGTACTAAGCTAGATTCATTAAGAGTTTAAAGATATAGTTGTTGACATATTACAAACAGGATTAACAATCAACATTAGGGATTAATTCATCGGATAAGAAGTGTATCATAGTGACATAAAAATAAACAGAAAATCCGAAAGGACTTATTTACCAACCCAATATAATAATAATTTTCAGTACAATCGGGTACTTACATAGAAAAAAAATCGCATTAATTTAAGCTGGAATAGAATTTAACAGATACGCGTATTTTATAAATCGCCTCATGAGTGGTAGAAAATAATGTCTTACCTACATTAAACTAAATTGATAGTATTTAAAAATTAATATGAAGTGATGTGTATCATTTTGACTGTGGGGTAAAATTATCCATTTCTTTAATTAATTTTTGTTTGTATTATGCACAGTTGAATATTTTTATTTTATCGAGTTTGTACATATTTAAACAAACAGATAAACAGATATTATAAATAAATCTGTTGTAGAGTTTCTGGTTTTATTTATTTACTGTAACCATTGAAGTCTTTTTCTACTGCAGGGTGGATCGGTTTATTGCAAAAAGTCACAAACGAGGTAAGGATACCGGCCCACCAATTTCAACTTTTTTAAATTTTTTTTTTATACTACAACGAAAAATATTAAACACGTTTCCCGGATTTATTTCTAATGGGACCTAGTAGCCAAGAAAAAAACGTTTTAAATTATTTCAAACTAAATTTATGTTATTTATTTTTGCATTTGCTTTGGCCAGAGTTTTAGGTTATTATATATATCAATCGTTTTTTTTTTTGTTCAAAATAAGAAAACTATATTAACTATTGTATTAAATGAGTATAATGTATCGTGAATTATAAAAACCAAAAGATGCTTCTAGTAAATTAGGCCGAGTAAATTTTTGTTATGAAAAAGCAAATTAGATTCCTTTTTAGGACCCTTTAAAATTCTTAAATACGAATTGCTTGATTTTCTTAGATAAGATTTTTTCCGGTCGTCAACTAAAGCATTAATAAATCCCCAGAATTTTCAACTTTAATATAACCATTGGAAAGCT